GCTGTAAAAGTATCGTGTAGAATGATGATCTGGATGAAATTTAATTCAATTAAAATTCAAGGCAATCCCTTTGTCCAACTGTTTAGAGGGAAGGAATGGGGGACAGGGGAGGGAAGTTCAGCCATGACAATTAATTTGAGCAATATCTTTGCTCCAAAGGTACTGTATTAATTGATGAGAGAATTTTTCCCGTTAATATTTTCTCCCTTGGATTCCCCGGGCTCGGCTCCCGGGACGGGAAGCGGCAGCGAGAGCCGCAATAGCGCGGAATGGCCGCCAGGTGGCGCCGGAGACCGCGGAGCGCCAGCACCGCCTCAGCGTTCTCGGGAGTAAAAATCTGGAATAAAAATCTGGAATAAAAACATAGAATACAAACCTGGAATAAAAACCTGGGGCAAAGGGAACTCCGGGTGTGTCACTGACTGACAAAACTAAAATAACAATGCAAGTTTTATGATAACCTCAGAGAAGTTAAAATTTGATGCGTCTCTAATATTTTTCAAATACCCAGGGTTAAAGTCACAATTGCATGATGTTGCTAAAAATAAAATAACAATGCAAGTTTTATGATAACCTCAGGGAGTTGATTTTTTTTTGTTGGTTCATATCTGGTAATTCAAGTGATCAGTCAATCCCAGAACACAGGGATGGGACGTAAAAAACCCACACATAAACTGCAGCAATTTATAAGGCATTTCAGAGAATGGTAGTTGTTTGGGTTAGTTCATGGTTGTGCAATTAGAAGTGTTGATGATGGTGCCTATATGAATATTTTTTTATCACGAAATGTGGGGTTTAAGTATTAATTTGTTGCTGCTGCCAGAGGAGAGCAGCATTTAAACACTGAATTAGCTCTATATCAGTGCAACAAATTGAATGTGGACTTGTGTCAAGCAAATTCAAAATGTAAGAAAAAAAGGAGTGTGGGTTCTGACCCACCATTGTGGTAATATTGGATATATTCATTTACGCTGGGTGTGAAGTTCAGGTGGCTGAGATACTGCTAAAAGAAAAGTTAAAATAACTTTGAGTCACCCCACACTCTGGGTTCTATCACATGTGGATCTGACAACCTTGTTCTGGGATTGACTGATCACTTGAGTTACCAGATATGAACCAACCAAAAAATCAACTCCCGGAGGTTATCATAAAAGTTACATTGTTATTTTATTTTTAGCAACATCTTTCAATTGTGACTTCAACCCTGGGTATCTGGAAAATATTAAAGATGCATCAAATTTTACCCATTCTTGTAAGAATGTATTGCACACTGAAGAAAGTACATTTTCATAACCGAGTTCCTCGATTACACAAATCCAGGAAGCTCATTGTGAGGCTCCTGTCCCATTCAAACAAACAGTAAAAATGTGACCAATCTAAATAAAAGTAATAGAAAGGTTTCACGAGGGAGTTACAAACCTGAGAGTTTGTTTTTGTAACTCTCACACCCACTTGATAAATTCTGCAGTGATCACACGTGGCCATGGAAGGCTATTTGAGGTCAGACTGGTGAGAAAAATGCTCAGTAAAGACGTTTTGCTAAGACTGAAATAGTGAGATGGAGTGATCTGGATGAGGTCAGTGTCTAATAGTTTAGAGAGGATTAGAAACATCACTGGCCCGCAATCTGTTACTGTAATTACTGAGCTACTCGAGTTCCTCACAGAACAACTCGGGTATTGGTATTACTGCTCTTGGTGTTCATGGTAATTAATTAAAACATACTAATATTCTGGTTCCTGCTTAATGGAAGGTGAAAGTGTCCCATCTCAAAAAAAAAAAACAAAAACAAAAACAAAAAAAAAAACAAAAACCAAAAAAACCCCAGAATATTTTCATATTTCCCTGCTGAAAAATCTGGATAGAGTGGAACCTGGCTTTTTAGCAAATAACATGGCTTTAAGTTGGGCAGCTTTAAGTGTTATTAAATACTGAAAAGCAAGAATATGAAAAAACAAACAAATAAATAAACCACACTCTAATGCTCCAATAAGTTTTTATTGTGGTGAAGCGTGGGTCAAAGTGAGGGGCAGTAATCAGCATTTCTCAGCAGACTCCGTGGGGCATTTGGCGTCTCAGGCACACTTGGTGAAACATTTGTCAGCTCATATGTTACCCTGAGCAATTAGCAGGAAAGACCAAGAGGGTTTTTTAAACTCATCGGTTTTATGCAGATAAAGGCAACAAGCCTCCTCCTCCTCAGAGGAAAAAATAACCCACCAACACATTTACTTGCTGCAATTAATCCCTTGCTTATGTGGAGTTCTTGTCTGCTGGTAGAGAAGATCACGAACCATGGATTTCCATTTTACACAGGGTCAGCAGCGCACAGGTTTAATTAAGAGTGTTGACACAAAATGTCAATAAACACAAGTATACAAACTCCACACTTAGGAAACATCCAAGCTTCAGCAGCTACTGGATTTGTAGAATCTCTAAAGGGCAGTGGCTGTTGTTGGGGTTGGAAGCACGGAAACAGTTCCTAACAGTAAATTTATGGTTACAGTAGCAATCTAGGGACTGAAACATAACCAAAGCTGAAAAGAAACATGGAAAGTGACAGTCCTGTCGTGGATAAATAGGACTAAGGTATGTGTTTCCATAAAGCCATATTTACCACAAGCACTGGACACAATGACCTTGTCATTCTGTGTTTTTAAGTGAAGTCCAGCTTCAAAGCCAAGGAATGCTGGTGCATATCACAATCAGATATTGTAACCCAGGGGATGCTCCTGCAGCTCTCTGGCAAGATGCTCACTCCACCTGACAGATTGCTAACAGCTTGTTAGTGACCCCTGCCTGTATGTTCTATTCACAAGTTGTGAATATGGTCTGTAAAACTGTCCTTGTGATTGCCACTTCAGCAAGGGGAAGAGAACAGGTCTGAAGATAATGGATTATTTAAATAGTGAATTAGTTACTTGTAGGGGGATAGAATATAAGAAAATGAAGATAGTGTAAAAACTAATCTCACCCCTAAGGAGTTGCAGCTGGGTCAATTATCAAAGATCAGTTACAGGCCTGGCTTTAACAGGCCACAGCTGTAAGCAATGAGAAGAAGAGGCTATAAAAGAGTGGGGAACGGGAGTCAGCTGGTTATTTAGTAAAGAAGAAAGTCAGTGCTCTGAGGAGCTGCCTTCAAGAAAACACCAAGAAGGTATGAGGTTTCTGTGGTAAGGAGACAACAGTATGGAACCCCTGTAATAAGGTAGCAACAGTTATTTTGCATCTAAGCTCCTAATTCTGCTTTGAAGCATAAATGTAAAGTCTAAGCTGAGGAAAATATTATGGAGTTTGCTAAAATACTCCATGTTTTAAATATTAGCTATTATAGATGGCTGTGGAACCCAAGAGGGGGAAGAAGCAGCTATTTTAGCTCTTGGAATTTAGCACACTACAAGAGTGGAGTATTATACTAACACTTAGAATTTACAACTTATCTAGTTTTTTCCTGAGATGTGCTCACTCCCTGTCAGTGGAGTTACGTGGAGTTCTTAATTAAGTCACTCTTATCCTTATTTTAAAACAAGGAGGTTTAGCTGTGGGTATTTGGAGTGGTTAATCACAGTGAACACAGCAGAATCAGGATTAGAATAGGATTGTCTCATTTCCTGCCCCTGTTTTAATTAACTTGGTATTCTTGCCTGTCTAGACTATTCTGTATTTAATTTTTAATCCCATTTCTTCTGACAAAAGCTAGACTCCTATTTTGATGAAAAGGAAAGTAGAAGTAGCATGATTTTGATAGTAAGAGTGTTTTATTTACTCCCTCTGTCAATTTCCCTGTGAACTCTGCTTATTTTCCAAGCCCCTTTTTTCTTAGAACATCTATTTCTGTTCCAGTTGCTCCAAATAGGATTGTTATCCTTGTACCTACTTACAGCCTGTGGCTTGAATTTAACCTTTTAATCATTTATCATTTAACCATTACCTGATATTTTACTAAAGGTAGAATTTGCTATCACATGTTTATGTGCAGTGGCTTTGGTTAGAGATGTCGCATCTAGTAGAATAATAAGTACAAAAATATATTAATTTTGCAAAACCGATCAAAAATTTAATCACTACTTCAAAGATAAGAATTAGTAAGGTTTTCTTCTGGGGTAAAAAAAAACCCAAAAAACAAAAAAAAAAAAAAAAAAAAAAAAAAAACTTGTGCTTGGATTCCTGAACAGCCACGGTGAAACACTCCTGCTGATGATTTTTGGTCTTTGTGGATATCACTCAGGTCTTCACTGCTTAGGAAATCTGTGAATAGTGGACACTTTAACCCTATAAAATCCCTGCCTGGTACAGAAGTGAGGATGAGGAGACACTAAAGCAGGCTAGAGAGAAAATCAGGTTATTGACGGCTGTGCCACAAGCACTTAACCTGCCGTGCAGCTTGGACGGTGAAGCGGCACAGCAATGAGGGACAGGCTCGGCTGAGCAGGAGGAGGTGCCGTCCATCCCCTCAGGAATGGGGAGCTGAGGATCGCCATGAGGAACCAGAGGTGTGACAGCAAACAGCGGTTTGACAACTCACGAAAAGAAAAGTTACGGAATTCCTAACCACTGAGTGCTGTTGGCTTTGCTGAAACGCATAAATAGTGTGAAGTTGTGCTGGTCGGTGAGCCAGCCTTTCGCGTGTTACCACCCAGCTCCTACTTCAGGCAAAGTGGATGAAATAAAGCACAGAAATCGCTCTCCTCGCTGTGCGAATTGGCTACTGCGGTCAGGACAACGTTGTATTTAACATCAATAAGCGGAGCGGCCACGACCTTGCGGCAGTGAAGAGACAGAATCACCGCGGGCGCTGCGGGAGCCGCGGGCAGCACCCGCCCGCACTGGGCCCCTCAGGGCCGCCTTGTGCGGGAGGCGGGGCCGGAGCGGGCTCGGGAGGATCTCGCGAGACTTGGGCGGCGCCGCGGAGCCCGGTTTGAACGGCAGCAACGGCGGGTGCGGGGAGCTGGCAGCGAGCGAGGGCGGGCAGTGAAGGGGAGCGGGGATTGCTCTGTGTGGGGCCGCTGTAGTGCCGGCTGCCGGTTCCTGCAGCGGGTGGGGCCGTTGGCTGCCCCACGGCCCGCGGAGGAGCGAGGCGAGCCCGTTCGGGCCGTGCCGGGTGTGGGGGTCAGACCCTCCCCCGGCAGGAGGGGACAGCGGGGACATGGCGCTGGTGACACGCAGCGCTGCCAGAGCCGGCTCTGTGCTGGCACAACGATGAGGCTGTGGTGTGACATTTGTTATTCTCTGTAGTACCGGCCCTCCCCCGGAGCCTGTTTGTGGAAGGTGATCGGCTCCGGAAAGCTTTCAGCCTGAGTGTGCGGCGTGGAAGGTGCAGGTACGGGCTCGTGTAAGTAACTGGGTGGAGTGGTCGTGGGAATGCCTGGGTTAAGGGAGAAAAACCACCCTGGAGCTTGTGGTTCTGACAGGATCAGAAAATGTACAGGTGCTCCTGATCACAGAGTGCACTGGGTGCTCCTGATCACAAAATGCATTGGGTGCTTCTGACGGGATCAGGAGATAGGCAGCTGTTACGTGTGCCCCTGGAGAATAGGCGTTTAACACAGAACTGTGCTAGAGCGGGAGAAGAAAGCTGACCTGCCAGCAGACTGCCTTTTATCTCCTGCCCTGTTACTTTTATTAAGTAGACTTTAAATGGTTGAATAATCGAGGTGCATAGATTCTCTCATTAAATGTTTGGAGATATTTAGCTAAAAGTGAGTAACTCTTGTAACTCAGTAGAATAAATGAAGACTGATGGCTGTTATTTCCTCCCTCCTGCCTACTCACCTTGCTCCCCATTCAATTGATCTTAAAATGTTGTTTTCAGAGTAATTTATTTAGCCTCATGTATAATATTAAGTTGCTGGTAATTATTTCAGTGCACAGCTTCTTGAACAAAACTACCTGGCCTTGTTTGATTCATCCAGAATTGGCCAGGAGGAACTGAGGTTGGCTGTGCTCCAAAAGGCGTACTTGTTATTTTCCTTAAATAGTCAGCAGGAATGTGTGAATAAGAAAGCTATTTCTCTTTTCCTCCATGCTTCAGCTGTAAAATTAAGAGAAAAAACCTGTGCTTTTCCTTCTGTTGTATAGTAAATAATTTATTAAGAGCTCAAAGTTCTTGTATGTGAAACTGGAAGAGAAATGCAGAAGAGATTTAAGAAGTAGGAGAGAGTGGGACAAAAATCCCCCAAAAAAACCCATTAAAAATTACAAGTGTACCAGAAGAAAATTACCCTGGCCAAATTGCAGAGCATCCATCCTTTGACAGCATTGCCTGGTCTGACTGTTTCTAAACTGTCTGACAGCTGCCTAACTGAGATTTGAATAAGATTTGCATTTATGTGGGGGCTTAGCCTGTGATCTGCATGTTCATGAGGCAGCCAGCAGGGTTAAGCCTGTTCTGAAAAGGGACAGCTCTGAAGGGCTGTGCTGGCAGCTCAGACTCATCCAGACTAGACAACTGTTGCTTTTTTTTTTTCCTTTAAAGGTGGAGTGGAAGTGTAAGGTCAAGAGATACTTTAATGGGCTTCTGGAGGTGAGTTAAACATGTTATTTATTTAAGTTAGTAAACTAGGAGCTGCCAAATGGCTGTGTTGCCTCTATGGTATTGTCTGATCAGAAAATAAAGTTATTTTTAAAGTTCTGTTTATGTAAGTGAACAATGATTCATTCATCCTCTTTACTAGTGGAAATACATGCCAGATGTTGTTGCCTATGTTCTTGTATTGCTACACCTTGCCTTAAACACTTAATTATTAATTTCTGTGTGGTGTCGCTGTATTAGTTTAATGCTGATGAATCTCAAGTATTGGTATGCAAAATTCCTGTGCTTCACTGGCTTATTTTAGTGTAAGTGCAAAACTATTATTTGAGGCATTGCAGTGGTTAGAATTGAAAACTGAGGTTTCAAAGCCTGTCTGGATAAAGTCTCCTTGTATGTGTTAAACCAGGATGGATAGCAGCAAGTGAGGAGAAAATGCAAAAATCAGAATCTGATTGTTTCTGTTTTGTGCCTTGGAAAGGAATTGGCACAGTATGGGCACAATTACTTCTGCCTGTTAATGAAATCCTTTTCTATTAGGAGAAGCTGGGTAACTCCACTGGGGGTTATTCATGTTGAATAAAAGTTAGCAAAAAAAGAAGTGAAAGATGGATATTACAACATTCATAAGAGTTATGTGTGTGCCAGTAAGGAATGGCAACAAATAAATTGCTTCTGTGAGAACAAAAAGTAAGAGTCAGAGGTCTTCAATACAGAAGTACTTTAATTCTGAAATTTGTGTAAAAGTTGTGGGCCCTGGCTTTGAAAAATCAACTGCAGGATTTTTTTGTCTCCTTCTGTTATTTCCTCCTCTTGGCATATGTTGTTCAGAAGCCCAAGTTGCTTAGCATTTTCTGTCTTAATAGGATCTTTTTGCAGCAGGCTGATTTAGCAGATTTGGGAGCAAGCAGTCATACAAGCTTATGGTATTAATTTAACTTGATTTTAATTTTTTTAAATATTTGGTTTGTTGGATTTACTTTGACTAACTTTTTTGCAAAACTCACCTTCTGTCTTTCTTATTCTCTACAGTTAGAAAACGATTAATTTTCTGAAATGTGACAAGGAGATGATTATTTACCAACAAGTAAACTAAATTTTGAAAGACTCCATTAAGCACTTAAATAAATGCAAAGCCCTGTGTTAAAATCCATATATTTTAACAGGGCTTCTATTTTTGACTCTTCCCTTGCTTACCTTTTATCTGTTTCTCTATCCCACATAATGTTATTAGGAGTGCACTGTCTTGCTAAGGTAGCTGCCTATGCCAATCTAAAGTGTTATTTGTGTGCACAAGAAATGCTGGACTTAGTGGGGCTTGGTTTGTAATACAGAGAAAATAGCGGCAGCCAAGTGCATAGAAGTGTTTTTCTGAGGTTATTTAATTGTCTTGTACTTGGCAAGAGAGCTCTATCCTAAATTAACTCTGGTTGTGCTGTACAAAGAAAGGCTGGGTGCACAGGAGTGCTCTTGCTGCATGTTAGATAAAATCAAAAATAAGGCAATAACCAAGTTTATGAAGAAATAACTATTTCAGTTATTTTACTGTTCACAGGTCTGCTTGTGAACTTTTATTTGTATCTTGTATTGCAAAAATATACGGTTCTGTCCTGGTTAAAAAGGAAATCCAAGAACTTCTTTCAGATAACTACTCTTATCTGTAAAATGAATTTACTGCAATATATTCTTAAGTAATTTTTTTTTTCTTTGCAGGGTTGAATAAAAAAAGAAAAATGGAGGCAGAGACCATTTTAAGTCTTAAACAGCAACTCAAGGAAGCAGAGAACGAGCGAAGGAAGGCAGCACAGTATGGTTTGCATTTACTGGAGTCCCAAAGTGAGATTCAGAATCAGCTGGATCAAACACGCTCTGAATTGACTGAGAAAACTGAGGTGATGCCTGTTTTTTCTTCTCCAAGTTCAAAACCAGAACTTTGTTTTATTTTAACTGTTTTCTGAAAGGCACAGGTGTTTTACATGCCTTCTAGCATCTAGATTAATTTTAATAAACCTCTAAGTAGCTGTAGAGAGGACTTTTTTCTCAGCTGTAAGACATTGAGCATAATTGTATCTAACTAAGAGAGGGTTTCCTAGCTAATTATGCACCAAGTGTTCAGTATCATGTAGGACTAATTGCCTTTAATGTAAAATGAGCGCTAACTACTAAAGTAAATTTGCTTCAGAGCATGTTTTTCCTCTGTTTAGCAATCCATTTATGTATGCTCTCCCAGTCAACTTTATATCACTTAAAAGCTGTGCAAAGAATGCTAGCAGCAAGACTGTAAAATTGATTTCTTCTCTAGTAAAGGTTTCAAATTTTCCAAATACCCAAAGGTTCTGAACTTTTTAGCACATTTCTTTGCAGCTCAGAAGAAGGAGTAGTATAGTGCTAAGTTATAGAGGTATTACTTAGTTTTCTTTTTAGCAATTGTTCAAGAAAAATTCAGTTGGGAAAATCTCTTCCATTTTTCATAGATGCTTTAATGGTCATCTTTGTGTTCAGCCAACTTTGTGTTTCAGATAATTTATTTATCTTCAATTAGTCTGCTTCTGGTTGTGCATCATCCCTTCTCCTGGGATAGAGCTGAAAGGTTTGTTTTGTTGCAGCTGGAGGGTTGCAGCATCCTGCTGTTCTGAATGGACAGAATTTTTATTCTGGTCAGTTCACCATTAGTAAGTTTGGTGTGAGAGGCAGCTGAAGGCACAGGTTCCAAGGAAGCCAGGGCAGGATGATCCTGTCCTGCTGACCTGCACAGAGGGCAGGTACTGAGCTGTCAAGGTGCTCCCCGGGGTTGTGATCCTGTGTGGGAGGCTGGAGCCAGCTTCTGAGCCTGGCTGCTAACTTGGATTCCAGGGGTGGAGAGTAGGAATTGTGGGCCTTCATACGGTAGAATAACATTCTGTGGGAGCTGTGCTTACCCAAGAGGTTCTTCAGAGCTTTTGAATCTCTCTCTGGCTCTGCTCTGTGCACTCTGAGTCCAGTAATTCAAGGCAGTTCCTGTGAGCATGAGCGTGGGTTCTACCAGCAGGCACAAAAGCCTCTCAGAAGCTCTGTGTGCTGTTCTGCAGCAGTGTGCAGGCAGGCTCTTGCTGGGGTTTTGTTGTTCTTGGCTCTGGCCAAGCAGTGAGCTCCCAAACCTGTCCTGTGGCCAGTCTTTATCTTTGTGTTAAAGATTCTGCCCTTGTTTGAGTGCTAAGCCTGTCCTTGATAAGCTGTGTCTAGGCCACAGAGGTCGCTTTGATACCTGACAGCTTTCAGTTTTTTATTTAATTCTGTTTTGTGTCTCAAGAGTTAGGTTATTTTGAAAAGGAAAAAAAAAATCTGCATGTTTAGATTAATTTGGCTTCCTTCTTACCTTTTTTCCTTTCAAGATTCTCTTTTTCTTCTCCTTAATTGCTGCCTGAATGGAAGAGTAAAATGAAGCTGCCCTTCATAATTAACAAACATGCAATCAAGCGTAGAGAGAAGCTGTTTAAAAAATTATTCTTCAGTCTGGAAGAGTTGATGGGATTTATTATGAAACAGACAATTTAGCTGTCTTAAAAAAACTATTGAACTCAGCTGTTCTGCTTGATGGACTGTAGTAATTTTTAACATAACTGGGTTCTGTAGTGGTAGAAGGGGCGTATAAACTCGGGCTAAATTTATGACACTTGCAGAAAAGATACCTGCACCTTTCATGTTGGGTGCAAAGAAACACAGAGTTTCCATGAAGAAGAGAATATTTCACAATCAAATTATAAACACAGCATTTCTAAATCATAACATTTTAGAGCAGTTATTTTAATTTTTTATAACATGGATATTACAACTCTCTAATTGATACTCCCAACAAAAGACTAAATGAGCTACAAGCATCTTGGTTCTGAGCCTGTGCTTTTTCATAAATGCTTAAGGAACAGTGTGCAATTACATCTAGATTTATTAGTGTGTCATTTCTTTCAGAAATTTGAACAAGAGAAATACACACTCCAGAGAGAAATTGAACTCAAGAATCGAATGTTGGAAAGTTTGAATTTTGAGTGTGAGTCCCTTAAGCAACAGCAAAATGTGCAACTGGATAAACAGAAAGAACAACTTGACAGAGCCTATGGACAAGAAATCAGTGGCCTTAAAAACAAGGTTTGGTAACTAATATATAGCTAAAAAGTTGTTAATACCATTTTAGATACTATTTGCTTAACTTATAATTGCACTCTTACCTACCAAAAGAAATAATAAATAGCTACAATGTATAGTAGCTTGTTTGGTTGGTTTTTAAAAAATATCTGTGTAGTCACTTATGAATTACATTGAATTCCAATGTTTATTTTTAAAAGCTACTCATGTGTTTCCAAGACATTTTCTGTAATTGGAGCAGTCAGAAATACTGTGCTTTTGAAGAATTTATCATGAAATGATACTATGTAGTTATCAACTGTTTTTAAGTTGGAGAACCTGAAAGCAGAACTGGATGAAACCCGACTCTCAGAGAAACAACTGAGACAGAAAGTGGAGCATCAGAAGGAAATCATTGCTGCCAAATCAGAAGAACTGCACATGATGTCTGAGCGTGTCCATGAGACCATGTCCTCAGAAATGCTCAGCCTGCAGATAGAGCTCACTGAGCTCCAGAGTCAGAAGGTGTGTGAGTAGCTCTGCATTTGCACTGTAGCCTAGTTGAAGATGAAATTCTGCTTTTTTGCTCATTCCATTTTTAGGCGTGCTGCCTACAGTGCCATGTTAGGATTGGCTTTTATTCAGACAATGTGCACAGCAAAAAATGACAGCCTTAATAGCTAGGCTTTAATACCTTATCTTCAAGATAATATTTTGTATTAAAACTAATTACTACTAACAAATGGCTTTGGTTTACTTAGGCCTGTCTTTCAGTTGTTTTAAAAATTTTTCATTTCATGCTTTTTTGTTTGTTTAGGCCAGTGATGAAGAAAAGCTGAATGAGCTGCAGTGCAGCAAGGAGCAGTTGGAGCTCATGAACAGCAACCTACGGAACCAGCTGGAGCGGCTGCAGGGGGAGAAAGAGGAGAGGGAAAAAGAAGTTGTCTTTTACTGCAATGCATTAGAGGTCTTCTCTTTATTTTTATTCACAGTGGTAGATAAGCCCAAATTGCACAAGCTGTGTTTTGGTTTTTGGTGAAGGAGGAGATGTGAGAGAGGGGAAGGAGAAGGATAATGGTTGATCACATCTGGTGCTGCTTGGTGGTAAAAGCTCTCTGTTGGCCTTGTTTTGTTGCAGCTGCGAAGGGAGAGCCTTTGCATGGCGCTGTTCTGCCTCTTGGGGACCTTCTCACAGGTCACTGGCAGAATTCTCCTTTTTATTTCATGTTCCTGCTGAATGCCTTGGAGAATCTTGTACTGGGAAGTAGAGCTTTTGTCACTGATGAACACAGCTGGGAGTGATCTGGATATCATTAATCCAGTTGACAAACATCAAAGCTTACCCTTAAAGGCTTTTAGTTGGAATCTTGTCCTGAAGAATAAGTGGAATATTAAGTGTTCTAGTGACATGAAATGAATTTGTCTCGTAGTTACTAGAACTAAGAACTGTATGTGCAGTTAAGGACTAGAACTTTATGGTACATACTTTGTTACTAGAACTGTATGTGCAGTTAAGGACTTCAGTACAATAGAATCTCTGCTAAAGTATAGGAAATCAAAAAGAGTTAAAGCTATCTGATTAAATTTGTGTATGCAGTACATCAGATGCTTAAATGACTAATATCCTCTTTACTTTAATCTAGAAAGCTCATGAGGCTAATCAGGAGCTTCAGGTTCAGCTGGATCAAGCAGTGCAGCAATCTTTGGATCCTACAAGTAAAGGCAATTCTCTCTTTGCTGAGGTACAACTATGCAACAGATGCCTGAGAAGTATTTTCAGGTTTCTTTCTTATATTGCATTGAAAATATGGGAGTATCTGCACCTGATCTGGCTATCTCTATTCCTCAAATATGACTTCAGTGTTGATCTGACACATGGACAACCATTTGATGCTCTTTCTGTAATTCTGATAAGGAATTAGTAAATTTAATGGAATCACTTCAAGTTATCTGACTATCAAATCAAAAGTTGTGACTAAGGGTTTGTGATGGTTCTGTCTGCAGCTCTTGATTTTCAGTTTTGTTCAGCTGATAAATCCATCTTTAATGGCAGCATGAGAAATGTTAAGAGTTGCTGCTAAAAGCTGCTTTGCACACTTCTTGGAAATGTCTGGATGTTTGGGCTTTTTGGGAGGGTTTTGGAATTAGCTTTTGAGTAAGAGTTAAATGCAGAGGGAGCATTATGTTTCATGGCAGCATCCAGGGGATGGGTGAACTTGGGAAGAAGCTCAGATTATTTTAAATTGTTTGTTCTGTTTCTAGTAGACAAAACTATTCTACGCTGAAGCATATGCAATGTTACTTTATTTTGATAGCAAAAGAACAAAAGAAAAATCTGCTGCACTTCACTGACTGGGTTTCAGTGGCACTGTCTACTCACTTCTATCACAGGGCTAAGACAGTAGCCTGTTTTTTTCAAGTACTGTTGGTGGAAAAGCAGTGTTTGCAGACTAAACAGCAATTCCTGGGCAGCATGTCCTTATCAAACTGATCATCCAAGTGACAGCAAGTGTTGTGGTTTCCCAGTAATAATTGTTCACAATGTTCTGTAGGTGGAGGACCGTAGGGCAGAAATGGAACGGCAGCTGATCAGTGTGAAAGTAAAATATCAGTCCCTACAAAAACAGCATGCATTCAGTAGAGAACAATTGCAAAGAATGAAGGTAGGATGATTCCTGTAATACTCCAGGGTGTCTTTGGGTCTGATAAAGGAACTGCTTTAATGCACAGGCCAGGGGATTTGTTATCTTTAAAGTATAGTGCAGTAGTCTGGGGGGAGGGAAATGGGAGAAAAAGCAAGTGAGATGATGCTGTGCTGTTTGACTCCTATGAACCAGCAGCATCCACCTTACAGTGAAGGCACCATGTTTGCTCACTTTGGCAATAGTTGTTCAATGGATAAAAGTAAAACACAGCTCCTGTCAGTCAAACTAGCATTCAGTTTGTCTTGCTATTTGTTTTTTTTTTTGTCTTGTCCAATCCTTATACTCCACGAATCAAGTATTTGTACATTAAATGTGGTTGTTAGGAATGAGCATAAAGAAAAAGACAGGCTTTTACCACCCTCACACTGTAGGTGTTTGGGTTTTTCTACCTCTGTGTTGCTTTCTTGTCTTTGTGTTTTTTATTCTTGCTTTTCTTTATTTTTGGTGTAAGAATAAATCATAACTTTCATAACTCTAAGTTAAATAGGATGAGAGCCTGTTGGTTAATGTTGAGGACTAGTTAGCAGAAGCTGATTTACAGGATAATGTCAAGGGGATGCTGCAGAGCTGCCAACTCCTTTCATGTTGGTCTCAAGTTTTTTTTCAATGCTAAAGTGGATCCTTTCATTTTGGTCAACTGCTTGGTCATGCAGTTTGAGGAGAGTGCTTAAACATCAAGGGTGATTATGATGAGTTGCACTGAAGGTTTGTATTAGCTAGATTTTGTGGAGTAGGTTGAAAATAGTTTAAACAATTGGTCTTAAATGGTCTTAAAGGAGAAGAAGAACCCTACTGATACAGCAGAGATTTGAATGAGGACAGTCTGGGTAGGATCAGTTGCTTTGGAAATTTTCTTTGTGATATGGGGTGAGTCAGTCATACTGATTGAATGGTGTAAGAAACACACCTAATACTGAAAGTACCAAAAATGGAGATAAACTGGTAGCCCTGTACTCATTGCTTTCATTTGGAATTTTCTAATTTTTTTAGAAAATGATGAGTGGTTTGTTAGGACAGCTGTTTTGCTTAAGCTGCTGTCGTAAATCCCTGTTAGCCTCCTCTCTGTGTTGTGCTGCACTGAGATGCTGCTAGTTAAAGCTCAATCTGAGTTTAGCTGATCTCTCCACTCAAAGCTGCTTACCCCACAGGAGAGGTAACTGCTGTTGCATTTTTAGTTGAAGAATCTCACTTTGTGGTAATGACTGGTAAATCCTGAGGATCTGACTCCTGAACAGAATGTACACAGCACTCCTGGGAAAGCTTTGCCACCTCTAGTGTATTTTTCCTAGTCCAGAGCATCCTTTGCAGTTTCTTTAAGCTCCTTGTTATGTAGATCAGCTGCAATTTGCGTTTCTGACAGTTAGCAGGAGGGCTTTTAAGGGAAAAGGGAAAAAGGTTGGGTGTCTGTGCTTGGGAGCTGTGAGGATAGTTTTAGTCAGTCAGTGAGGTGGAGTTTACAGTTTTGCCTCCCTTACATCCTGTGGAAGCTCTGAGGAGATGATAGAATCTTTCATTAGCTCTACTTTGTGCGCAGAATCATCAATACCCTTTAGTTGACATAAGAGATTCTATAGGGTAAATGCTTGTCTTGCTTTCCCTCTGTAATCTCATTTTTTCACTTGATCCTTTCCCTGTGATTTCTCCCAGTATTACCTTATCCATACTGACTAGACTGATAAAAATGCCTCAGTTTTCACTAACACCTTGTGAAGTCTTTCATTTATTGTTTCTTGTTGAAGTGTCTGATGTATTAAATGTATTTAAGTGTTGAATGTATTAAGGCCTTTGTACTTCAATTTTACTAACACCAACAGAAATATTGCTGTAAATGTAAGATTTTTATTACTTCTCCTTTATAGTGACAGAGGGTGTTCTTTTGCCTCAAAGGAGGTATTCCATTAGAGAAGCAGAAAGAAAAAAATGAAATTCTTGGGTTAATATTGTGAAAGGCAAACATGGTGGTGTTATAACTGAAAAAAGGGGGATTAAGCTTGTGGGTTTTCCTGAGTGAGTTCTCAAGGTGCATTTCAGCTCTGACAAGTCAGCCTGGACTGAGAGTGGCTTCTGGCTGGCTTGGTGCTGATGGTAAATGCTGTGTGTGCCCTTGGCAGTGTTTGTGTGCTCCTCAGCCAGCACAGAGGTGAGTGGGACACCCCAGGGCTGCACTGCTCACTGAGATCTCAGCTCTCCTCTGCCTTGGGCTGTCTGTGCTGATAATTGCTGGGGTTGTGTCATGGAGACTGACTTCAAGCCCCCAGTGCCCTTCTGTATTCAGGTTTAGAATTACAAGGCTGGAGTGACCAATTTTGTGTAAAAGGCTGGGATTTTCAGCCCCTAATCCCAGTGCTTGATGTAAATAGTTTTTTCCTCTTTTCCAGCTGCAGATGGCTACACTGCTGCAGCTGAAAGGCTCCCAGGCAGAATTTGATCAGCTGGAGCGTTTACAATCCATGGTAGAGCAAAAGAATGGTGAAATAGAAGATCTTCTTATGAAAGTGAGGCAGCTAGAAAAATTTAAGGTATGTGGTTTTTAATTAAGTAGAAAGTTATAATTGGAAGTTAAAACATGAAAACAAGAATTATGAGAACTATCTGAAGTCCATGCTCAGGTTTAAGAAGGTATCCAAAAGCTGATTCATATCTTTATTTGACTTGAATTGCATTTTGCAGCTGGAGAATATTAGACTCCTCAAGTGCAGAGAAGCAGAAAATTATAGCCCACTCAACACCTGGGTTGAAGAAACAATTTTTGTCCTGTGTGAAGCACCTTCAGATCGTTTCTAGTTACTTGGTCAGAGCTCACTGAGCTGTGCCATGCAATTTTTCCCTGGGAAGGTGCACTCATTTGGCACTTGTACTGTGTGTGCTTAGGCTTCAGCCTTTGGTGCCTCAGCTCTATTGAATTTCCTGGATATTTATTTTCTTGATGTGTCTCAACTTTGCAGCTGAAGCATGCTCTTTTCTAGCAGAACTGAAGTGCTGAATTATCCTTGTAAAGCAGTTTTTTCAGTCCTCTTATGCAACTTGAAAAAATCCTCTCAGTATTTTGAAAAGTGAGAAACACATGAGGATTTCTGTATACACCAGTGTACTACTGATGTTTGTGTGTTTCCAGAGTGGAAAACTGCAGCCTTTCTTAATTTTGGCATGTTTCTGGACTTCTTTGGCCCTTCTTTATCAGAGCTTTGGAATGCAAACTGAGATGTATTTGTTTGTGCAGTAGAACTGTGCTTTCCAGGGTAGCCTCCTGTATTCTGTATTTAACCCAATAACCTGGTGTGAAGGCAGGCTTAACCCATTTTAGCAATAACTGAGGAAGCCTGATTGTTTTATCAGTTTTGTCATGTTTAAGCTTGATCTGTGCTTATTTCTGTCTCTAGTAAATAAGTAGTGTTGGGAAAAAGAATGATTGATTCCAATAACCACCAAAAGTATCTGTAGGCAGTGACTGACAGAGGCCTGGGAGGTCTCTGGGACAGAATTAAATTTGAGAACTGCTTGTTCAGAAAAAAATCACCAAGCAAAACCCCCAGTGTCACATTTTATAATATGTTGCTTTTTACTATAAAGCAACTTCCTCATCTGAGATACATATTTGATTTTGACTGTTGATGAGCATGGCTGATATTCCTCTGGGGTCCAGCTGCTGAGCCTAGAAATAAATGCTGAGGAAAATTCCCTGTGGATTAACTAAATACCCTGTATTTTCAAGTAAAAAAACAGCACAGCTTTCTTCTTGCAAACCTTCTGGAGTTGAGATAACTCACTTTTTTCCCTTTTGTTCAGTGAATGAGAGAGAGCTGTCAGTTTTAGTGCTATTTGACATCTGTAACAAATGAGAGAGTACTCAGAGCAGCTGAGTTTTATCATCTGTGTTTAAATCTCTCTATGATGAGGCTTCACCATCAAAATGCATAGAAAATGTCCCCTAAGAACTAAGCTAATGTGCTTCTGAAAGGTCACTGCCTGACAAGCTGACACTTGTTCTTTATCAGAGTTTATATGAGAATATGGAGGAGTCCAGACCCGCTAATGGAGCGAAAGGAAGTGACTCTGAGAATGGTTACTATGCAGATTTACTGCAAATTAAACTTGACAACTCAAAGTAAGTGATTCCAGCCTGAGGTTGTGGCAGGGTTATCTTCTAGGTACTTGTTTTTATCCTCCCTTTTTTGTTACTGTTGTATTTTACACCCATGTGCAAATGGGTTTTGTTCCTGTTGGATTTTCTAATGCTGTGGAACCAACCTGACTTCATTATAGGACTGAGAGTTGGTTTTTGTAGTTTCATTTATGTTTTAAAAGATAACAGCAGAAATACTGTTTATGATTATTGCTTTCTTAGAAATGTTGTTACTACTCCTAGAGATACAGGGCAGTTGAGACCTTGAATAAATTAAAAGTTAATCTCTAAGGGAACTGTATGAAAAGCCTAAATCTTTAGGTTATGTATGTTTATTTCTCTTACAAAAAGTGAGATAATAATAGTCAAAATGTTTCATAGGACAAAAAAGCTTGATTTTTCATGCTGATGTAGAATTACCAATTTAAGGTGAAGTTCAGTGCTTAGTTGTTGCTTTACTAAAAGGAAAAAAAAACCCAAACTAATCCGTGTGACTGATCTTATAATTTTCCTCCCATCCCAGCAAGGAAACTGAAACACTGAAAAATGAGCTATCCCTGCAGAGAATGAAAGCTCTGTATGAGAGCCAGAGGGTCCTGGAATTTGAAAGGAAGCTCTTCACAAATGAGAGGCATTTGCAGGCTTGTCAGAGTGAGAATATGAACCTGAGGGTTATGCTGGATGAGCTGAAAATGAAATATGAACCTGAAGGTAACAACTTCTTTTCTGTCAGGGAAACTATAAATTTCTGATTTTCTCAGCCTTTAGAAATGGAATGACATTAAACAGGAAGACATTGTTTTAGTTCCAGAATTCAATGCTTAAATAGTTGCTGACTTTCTGAAATAACCTGATCCAAAATCCGCTGAGATGAAATAGAAAAGCCCTGCCTTGCTCAAGACCTCACTTGAATATGTGAGCACTGACTGGAGAAGACCAAAGAATGCAGTTCTGCTGTTAAAAATGGCAGTTCAGGGGCTTTGTAGAGCACAGGTAGATAACCAGACTCAAGTGGGTGGGATCAAATCTCAGGTGTTTCCCATAATAATTCCCATAAATAGTGTCTTTGTGGTGGTGATGAGAATCCTCAGCTCTCTGGGTGTAGGCAGCTGATGGGAGCTTTGGAATAAGGTGCAAAGCATTTACAGTTTAGCAGCTCAAGTTAATATGGATTAAATTTTGGCTAGAGAGACCCACCTGACAAACAGCTAATACCTGAGTATGGGCAAAGCAAGGGAACTGTGGAGGAAGAGGATTCTATTTAAATTGAGAGCAAATTAAGGTGAGATATTAGGAAGAAACTTCCCTGAGAGGGGGTGAGGTCCTGGCACGGGATTTTGTGGCTGCCCCTGGATCCCTGGCAGTGTCCAGGCCAGTCTGGATGGGGCTTGCAGCAGCCTGGGATGGTGGAAGGTGTCCCTGCCCCTGGGGGTGGGACTGAGATGGGCTTTAAGATCCTTCCAACTTAAACCATTCTGGGATTCCGTGAACAGGGAACCAGATAGGAAAGTTGTTTTTGTCCACACCCAAAGGATTTACCTTTAAAATGTTATTTATGGAAGCTTACCTCAGCAACCTGCAGTTCAGAGCATTTGATTTAAAGCCTTGGTGAAAAGACAGAGTGGAGGAGGAGAAAGATGTCTCTTTTTCAAGCGAACTTCTGCTGGAATGATCAGATTATATGAAGAACCATTCTTATAAGGGTATTAAAATTGCCTATTAAGTTATATATATAAATATATATCTAATTATACATTGTCTATTAAGAATTATTCCAAGCCCTTTAGTCATGTGAAATATTCTTACTTTTATTGTGAATGTGTTGGGGGACAAGTTATCTCCAGCTTCTTGTTTGTACAAAAAGCATATTCCATTTTTTCCTTTAGAATTACTTAAAGGTTCTAAAATTAAAAAGAAGAGGGAGAGAATTCCAGTGAATGCGGCTTGTGAATACTTTGACAGCCAAAATACTCCAGTGAAAGAAACTGCTCTCACTCAATTGCCAAGTAAGGAAGGGAAAAAGATGAGTACCAAGACCCTGGAGCAAAGTGACGCTTCTCCAAAAAAACAGCCTGTCCAAGCATCCCCACTGCACACAGCTCTGCAGGCAATAAGAAACATTGTTGAACCTGAAAGAAAAAGAGTTAAAATTCAGGATGAGAATCATGTCACCTTTACTTCGAGTAGCAGAAGTGGAAACAATTCCTCAGCTCCAGCTGTCCCCAGGTCAGTGTCAGCTTCTGTCTCTGCTCCAGGCCCTCAGCACAGAGCTGCATCTCTTTTCTTTCGCTGCATGAACTGTGCTCTGCACTGCTTTATCTATTTCCTCAGTGTTGCATGCAGTGTCATCCCTCAGCTCCGGCTGCCCACGCTCAGCCTCTCGCTCCCTTTTAGAAGGACTAAAGCACTGACTAATAGAAAAGACTCTTGAAACAGTCTCTGAAATAACTTTCCTATTGAAGACATTTAAGGTGTGCAGGTAGCATGACAGCTCACTTGGTTTGCTCCAGCATCAGAAGCTTTGTGTTCTTGGTGCCCTCAGAACTGCCCCTCAGCTGTGTTACAGCTCAAGGTAATAAAGGCAGCTGGAAGCATGCTTCACTTTCATGCCTAATTTCAGCCCCCAGCAACTTCCAGATTTAGCTAAAAGCCTAGAAAATATTTAAGTAATTCTTCACCTGAATTGTGTTAACTTTCATTGTACAAGATAATAGAGAATTAATGAGCTGTCTGTGTTGTCAGACAAATCAAATGCATGGTCTGGATGTACAATTGCTGGAAACACAACTGCCAAATTAAGATGAGATTTTTCTCCTGAACTGAGAATTGAAGTTACTTTTTGCTAGGTGGTAAAGTAACTGAAAAACAGTCATTATCTCCAGCTTTTTTATCCTGGTGAAAACAATGCTGACTTTGATTTTCTACTTTTTCAACTAATGCCTTTTGTATTCTCTTCATACTCTTTGTAAACACATACTTTGTAAACAGTGAGTGTTTGGGGGTAGAAAAAAAGTCTAGGCTAGTTCAGAGGTTTTGGGCTTGCAACTTGCTAATATCTCCTGGAAGAAACAGCCAATGTTAATGGCATTCAGGGTAATTGGATTGATGCTTTGGCTCTTAGGTTGCATGGAGGTAATTAACAGTCTTAAAGTAGCCAAACACTGCAGTCATCTTAAACTGTGGGGAAAATATGGCAGAAACAGTAGTTTTAGCAGTTGTGTTAAAATGTGGGATTGTTAGTGAGGAGGGAAGATCAGGAAGGTCAGATGTGGATGAAATGGAGAGGAAGGATTTGGAATAATTCAGTAATGGTGTTGGGGTTTGATAATGTTCTCTACACATAATGGAACAGGCAGAATGTAACCTGATATCAAAAGGTTAACTTACCTCTTCATATTGCTTTGGGAAAAGAAGATATAATGGCTGCTTACAGGAAACTGTTGGAAATAGTTTATGGGAACTGAAGGGGGAACCTACTGGAGAGAGGGTGAGGAGTGGAAATTGTTTATGGAGTTGATGCTGGAAAGCAGAGAGAGTAGAAAAAGTGGAAGAGGAAGGTGAAACCATAGTTCAGAGGGAGGTTTCTAATCCTAATCTTGTACCCATTGCTGTTGGTTCAAATAAGGAACAAAAGATGGAAAATATTAGAAAAATAAAAACCACAAACACACTTAAGCTGCCACAAAACTTCGTAGAAGCTGTTATGCTTTTTTTGGTGATAGGATGAGCCTGTAAAAGGCAAATCCAGGCAGAAAGTTGTTTGTTTCTAATTATGTTAATGAACTACTAAAACCTCAGGTCATGATATTAAGCTAGCATCAAGGATTTATTTACCCCTGATCTGCTATGATGTGCTATAAAATAGGAAGACATGTTGAAATCTGAGTAGTTGAGAAGCTGGATTTCTGTTCTCCACTGAAAGAATCTCTGGGCTGTTCTGTGATGGATGTGGCTGAACCTTGGGCACAGAAAATAGTGGCAAATTGATCAGGAGTGGGGACCTGAACAGGGAGAGTTTGTGGGAGGAAAATATGAGAGTGGATAATTGTCAGTGTTTGACCTTGTGTCAACTAAAATGTGATGCTGCAGCTGAAAGGCTGTTGTGCTCTCTGGGGGTTGGTTTTGTGCCTGGAATAGTTTTTCTGCAGTAATTAGTGGAGCTCTGACATTGGCCCATGAATTGTGAGAGAACAGAGCCGCTTTAGCTGTGAAAGGGCTGCAAACTGAATTTCTAGAAAGTGGGGTTGAATTTGTCATCTCAGCCAGGGAGGCAATGAGGAAGTGGTCAGATGTGATCTGGGTGTGCTTGTGGAGGTGACAAACTACCTTGTGTCAAGAGACTTTCTTGCTGAGGAGGTTTCAGCAGGTACAGCTGGAGAATCTCAGCCAACAGCTGTGTGTGCAGGGCACCTCTGTCCTTCCAGAGGGCTCCAGCCAGCTCTGGAGTAGCTCATTAGGGGGTGACACTGATCAGGTTCTGATATGAGAGTGTTGAGACTACAGATTTAAGTATTCAGGTGGTGATTATTACTTCTCAATGCATACTGGAGTTCTGGCCATGCAAAGGTTATGTGCAGTGATATCTTTTGTTTGGCCAACTAACTGGTCAATAGAAAGGTATATTTCTCTATTGAAATGCTTTTCTTCCCTTCCTAAACTGAAATAACAAACTCTAGCCCTTGCTGCACAGTTTATATTGCTTTGAGATTTGAGGTTGTTTGCCTGAGTTTGATCTAAAGAAGAACTTGAATGTCTAAGAGTTTATTTGCTCCCTTAAATTTAGTTGGATTACACACACCAAATCTACTTCACTTGGGCTATGTCCTATTGCCTGTACTGCTCAGCAGGAGATCTGGATACACTAATAATATACACTAATAATACTCTTTGGGGTTTTAGGCAATGAGACAGTTTTATCTCCATTTACATTCATAGCAGAATTAAAACATGTCAGTAGACAAATTATATCATTCAGAGCCTGAAAATAAATCTTCCTCCAACTGAAGATATTCAAGCACTAAGCTGAAGGCCACAGTAGTGTAGAATGAGGTTGAAAGGAGCATGTTATTTTAAGGGTAGGTTTTTGGTGGTGTAGAAGCAAGAAGCTTGATTTCATCCCAATTGTTTGATGTTGCTCAGACTTTTCACCTGGAGTTGTTCGTTTGGGGACTGGATCTCCTTTCTGTGCAGGACACAGTCACTGGTGTTTCTGAAGGCTGGTCTCAGCCACTTCACCTTTTCAATAACCTTTCTTACCAAACAGTTCAGCAGCTGTGGAGAGGAGGCTTTAAGTGATGAAATGTGATAGAGAAATACTTTGGTTTAGTCTCATTTTCTTCTTAAACTGTGCTTGCTCTGTCTCTGTACATGGATGATCTTGTTTACCAGCTGGCTTGTTGATTTTGCCTAAAATTCTTCTTTTATTCCTGGTTTATATTAACTAAATATGTATTTAGAATGGTTGCTTTGCCTATAGGTTAACAGCTGAATCCAGATTTGAAACTACAGAAGAAGATAAGAGAGAAACTAAAATCTCAACAGAGAAGAAAACCCAGAAGAAAAAACATTCCACACTGTATGTATCTTCCAAGGCAAGTTGTGAAACTCAGTGTGCTCAGCAGTGAGTCACTGCTCAGGGACCCTGGGCACTCTGGGAACTCTCTCTCATCAGTGCACAGGTTTTTAACTTGAATTTCTCTGCCTGCTGTTATGGGGGTGTGATTGCCTGGCAGAGCTGCGCTTCTGATGCCTTCCCTGAGGCACCTCTGGTGTTCCCTTGACCCCAAGTGTGGCCTGTTCCCCACTCCTGGCAGAGTCTCCAAACACATCCATTGCTTTCTTTGAAGCACAGGGCTGTTGTGGAGGAGAAGTTCTGGCTAACAGAGGTTTTATTATATGGTAAGGCAGACTAGACAGGGTTGATGGAGAACTCAACTAAGTGATGTGCTCCTAATTTTTTTCCACTTTCCAGATTCAGATTTCTTCATATTTTTCCTCCTAATGTATTAGTTTTCAACTTTAAGGCTGACCTATTTACGAAAGTGCATGTGAATCATTCCGTGTGTTTTGTTGGTCAGTGTTTGAAATTCTATGGATTCTTGTATTTGTACTATTAAATGAAATAAAGGTTTATTTCTTTCTTTATAAAATGTAGCCTGTATTGTATTTGAGAAGAAACATGTATCCATTTTTTAAATGAAGGTGATGTCTTTTGTAGAACTTTTTGTTAAAAAAAAAAGTACCTCAATAAATGATAAGAATGTGTAATGCAGGTGCTGTGTGTCATGTTTTTAGGAGACAATTCTGTAACTTCCTGAAGCTCATGAAGAAAATTTCTGAGGAGACCTTTTAAGTTAGGTATTCGTATGGAAGTTGGATTACTCCATTTGGGTCATTGTACTATACTTTGAGCTCCATCTGGTGAATGGATTAGCCAGTCTTTGAGTAAAAGACTCAGTAATTAAGGTGGAAGTTCTTTAAGAATTTTTCTTTTTAATCCATCATGTAAAAAAAATACATTTGGGAGTAATCTTGCAATTCCTTGGTTTGTTTACACTTCTGCCAAGTCTGAAGTGGTGCTGGGATTTTGTTAACTGTGGTTGTGCATGTGGGTGGCTTTAGCTCATCAGTCACTTACATCAGCAAAATCTGAATTCTGATCACAGCAGAAGTGACTCAAAAGTGCCTTTAATGACCCCATCTTCTCCCTTTCCAGGCAGCTCCATCTCATTATCAGAGCATTCTGCACAGTTCTGTTTAGGCACTGCCCAGTGGCTGCTGCCTCTTGAACAAAATAATCTGGAATCTGTGTCATGGAATCAGATTGTGTCACTTCACTGGTGTAAGACATTTGCTATGTAGCTGAGTGTTTCAGTCTGTTGTTAATGAAGCTACTTAAACAGAATATCTTCTTGTTAACTTTTACTGACAGCAAATGTGTAGCCATGAAATAGTTCTTGCTCTTCTTGAATTTGATATGTGAACTTAAATGATGTCATGTTGAAGAAATCCTGGTTTTTATGCTACAAAATGTTAGAAAAATCCTTTTTTATGAAAATGATGAAAGTTACCTTTGTTTACTGTCACTACTGTGAGACACAAATAGCCTAAAACAACTGAGGTACATGATTGTTCTACTTAGAGGAAAACCTGTGGTAAGTTGACATTATCCAATGTGTTTAAATGGCAGTATTGAGACAGTTAATTATATGTTATGTTAATTGTGTGTTGATTTATGTTATAGTTAACTTTATGTTGAGCTACTTGGCATGTGGCATTTCTAAAGCTTTTTCTAGGTTGAAATAACTAATTTCTGTGACAAACAAAACTGGGATGTCATTTCAACAAACAAATGCAACTGATTAGGATTATCTAATTACCCTCGGGCTGCTTTACAGTGTGTGCTGCTGGAGCCCACTTGGGGTGCCCAGGTTTTACCATCTTA